GTTGGCGGTGTTCCCGCTGGCCGACTACGGCGACATCCTCCGCACCGGGTTGCTCAAGGCGGCGCCCCCCGGGATGAAGCGGGTGTGGACGTCGAGCCACGGCTCCGACGCCAACGAAATGGCGTACAAGGCGGCGTTCATGTTGCACCACGCCCGCGAGCGCGGCGACCGCGACTTCTCCGCCGCCGAGATCGCGCTGCTGATGCTCAACCAACCGCCGGGGTGCTCGAAGAAGACGATCCTCAGCTTCAACGGCGCCTTCCACGGGCGGTTGTTCGGGTCGTTGTCGACGACGCGCTCGAAGCCGATCCACAAGTTGGACATCCCCGCCTTCGACTGGCCGGTGGCGCCGTTCCCGCAATTGCAGTACCCTCTTGAAGACCACGTCGACGCCAATAAGCTCGAGGAGCAGCGCTGCCTTGAGGCCGTCGACACCATCTTGGCTCACGGCGACGTCGCCGCCGTCGTCGTCGAGCCCGTCCAGTCGGAAGGCGGCGACAACCATGCCCTGCCCCAGTTCTTCCAGCAATTGCGCAAAATCACCCAGGACCGCGGGGTGTTTTTGATCGTCGACGAAGTGCAAACTGGCGGTGGCGGTACGGGCAAGTTCTGGGCCCACGAGCACTGGAACTTGCCGCTGCCGCCGGATATGGTGACGTTTTCCAAAAAGATGCAGGCGGCCGGGTTCTACTACGCCGAGCCCGACCTCCAGCCTAAGCTTGCCTACCGTCAGTTCCACACCTGGTGCGGCGACCCGCTGAAGGCGATCATCGCCCGCGCCATCATCGACGAGGTGCAAAAGCACGGTCTCGTCGACGCCACCGCGGCCACGGGGGACTACTTGTACGCCCACCTCGCCAAATTGCAAGATGCGGGCAAGATTCTGCGGCTCCGGGGCCAGGGGATGGGGACGTTCATTGCGTTCGACTTGCCCACCGCGGACGCGCGCAACCAGCTCGTGGCCAAGTTGAAGCAGCTTGGCGTCGTCGCCGGCGGCTGCGGCGACAAGCTGGTGCGGTTGCGCCCGCTGTTGACGTTTGGTACGCCCCACGCCGACGTGTTTATCGACAAACTCCACCAGGCGCTCTAAGGCGGCGGCGTCGAACTCGCCTTCCTTCCCCCCCACACCCCCCTTTGTATATTTTGACACATCGAGATATTAAGTTTAGTCTCGATCGAGCCTTTGTGGAGGTTGTGGGGGGAGGTAGCGGCCCCAACGGTGACCCTTAGCCCTCGCAGTACACAGGGGTGGAACCGTGTCGACCTGATAAAAATATATAGAGAATTTGTACTGCATACAATTTAGAATTCGTCGCCCACACCGTGCGAATAATCATCTCAATCGGGCCGGGTACGGCAAGAGGTCGTCACCCCGCAATCCCCCTTAACCAGGTAAGTTTCAGTTACATCTCATCCACATGATTTTGTATCAAATTTTAAAGGGTCGATAGTCACTAGTAAGGATTTGTTAGTAGGCAGGGTGGCAATGGCACTCATCGTCCCCTCGTAGCTTATAGGCGGTGCCTCACAGTGAAATGGTTTGCCTGAGACAGATTTTGGCAGGTAAATACCAGCGGTTTGCCAAAAACGGTAGGATGAGCGGGGGCATGGCCATCGCCGCCAAACGTCTGCCCAAAACTGGTAGGCACACCCCGCTCGTGGGGCTCGTCACTCGGCGGGTAAGTTCAGCGGAGCCACATTGCACCAACCCCTACACTTCGCAATCGAGCTTTCCCTCGCCTCAGGCGGCGGCGGGAAAGTGAAAGTCGCTGTTCGTGGGGGTGCCGCTATAATATCGGAAATCCGCTGAGGTAATATTTATTGTGGTTTCCTGTCCCTTATGCCGATTGCGAGACATCTGCGGCCGTGCAGCGACCACCCACAGGAATACGGGATAAGGTTTATGCTGTGTGAGACATGCATGAGCGACCACAACACAGGACGGTGGGGGAAGCGATCACGGCGGCAAGATAGGCGGCGCTACAGAGCGTCAACCACTGGTCACTGACCGCCAAAAGTTCCCGGGAGTCCCCCGTATCCCGAGGCGGCGGCGGCAGGCAAGGGTCCCGCAAATGTTGCTGTGGCAGGTGCTCAGGGCATTCGCCACCAGCAATTGAGGT